GTTAATCATGATTCGTTAGCAATTTTAGTAACATAATTAATAAGTGTGTAACAAATGTGTAAAGTGTTCGCTCTCCGAGCAGTCGACGAACATAGTAACCTTACAGCCGAACAGTTCGTACAAGGATCAGACAATCAAGCTGAGTATATTTATTTAATGGTAGACCGTGTAAAAATAATCAAGGAGGACTGTATTACTCGCGGAAAATCCCGTATAAAAATGTGCGCCAATACGGCGATCCTTCCAACACGCGTTGTGTTGTTCAGTTAATGAAACGTTATTTGCAATGTATTCCACCGAAAGGTCCCTTCTACCGACGTCCACTGACGTCCAGCGGAGGGCTCAAATTTTCTAAACAGAAGATTGGAGTAAATACTTTACGACAATATCCAAAAAGAATGTGTGATCTGGCTGGATTAGATGGGTATCATACTGGACTTTCGGGTAAGGTAAGTTTGTCTCAAGTGATTCTGGGGTGGGTGGGATCTTGGGATGGGTTCAAATTTGTTTGAATTTCGCCGATTGAAATATTGTACATTGTGAAAACGTATTTCAAACGCGATGCAAATAAATGTCGGTATATTTACTTCTCAAATCATTCTTTTCATACTTTTAGGTTACTGTGGTGACTTCGTTGTATGAAAAAAAAGCTTTGATGAGCAACTAATCAAAGAACGCACTGGTCACAGATCGGATGATGAGTTGAGAACATATAAACGAACAAGTAACTCTCTTCAGATAATGCTTTCCATCCTCCACTACCGAAAGCAAGTACTTCAGCCATCGTAATTGACGATTCCGATTCCGTACACAAGCCTAAGGTTGAAAGATATGAACAGCCACCGCCTGAACCAGTGACTGCAACATCACATGCAGAATTCAGAGAAATGTGTCTTTCAAATGATTGTTGTTCTAAACAAATTAAAATTAAGATCCAGGACGGAAACAAATGTGTCAATATTGAATTGTAGTAGTACTTTTTTCCATAGAAAGTATAATTAAATTAGTGCGATTTGCACCCTCATTGTGATTTGTGTGATTAAAAGCATATACTTTGTTTAATTTGTAATGCAAATTGTAAATGGTAACGTTTTGATTGATATGCAAATTGTAAACGGTTACACTTCTATTGATATGTTAATTGTAAACGCTACACTTTTGATACTTTGTTTAATTTGTAATGCAAATTGTAAATGGTAAGGTTTTGATTGATATGCAAATTGTAAACGGTTACACTTCTATTGATATGTTAATTGTAAACGCTACACTTTTGATACAAAGTGTAGCATTTACACTTTGCATATGAATGAAAGTGTGACCGTTTACACTTTGCATATTTGCGAATGCGTTGCTTTTTACAATTTGCATATAAATTCACCCTGTTTGCAAGTATAAATCGTTGGCGAGAACAATGATACACGTGACCAAAAATGGTATAACAATATATAATACATTGCGTATTACATATGCTTGGTGATGGAATGAATGAAATAGGTCAAAGGAATGTAGGGAACGTGTAAAAACATTTTTTAACAGATTTTGAGCCCATAACCATGCTTAAAATGCAGAAATTAAAATTGACATGTATCAGTATGTTTAGTAATACACTTTCTTCAAACCGGAAAAAAAGTATGCATGTAATACTTTGTACCAATCAAATTAAAATCTGATGTGTAGTACGGGGTATATATTTTACTTCATTTTTACTATAGGTTTTTTATTTTTGTGTAATTGTTTTTACTATATCATTATATACATCTTATTTTGTATTACTTGAATTATAGCCACATACATCTGAACTGACGTAGACTTAAAACGGTTTCAAAGATTCCGTCTGACTGGTTTAGCCAAACTGTCTTAGGCTATATACCACGCAAAACGGATCAAAACACACGAAGATACTAATGTACGCGTACCACATAATAACAGTCGCAGTAAATGTCACGCGTACAACATCACCAAATATTGTTAAAATCAACAAATAATGTCATAATGTCAAATAAAGGCAAAACAAACAATTGATGAAAAAAAATAATGTAACAAAAATGTCTAAGACAAAATAAGTAAATAATGACAACATAA